GTAACTGAAGGTCATATGACGTTATCCAAGGACAAAGTCAAATGGTGGGGGGAGGTCCTCAAGCGGCCTTAGACAACTACTTATACCTTCATTGATTTCCTTGACGATCCAAGGTTTGTCTTCAAGGAGGTGGGTTTGCAGATTTTTCGTGAAACAGGCTTTGTCAAATAGATTGAGAAATGAGGAGTAGAATTTGGAAAATTTAGTGTCAAACTCAATATTGTTGAGATACACCGATAATGTGGTTTGAACACTGTCCATTGAAGAAGCCCACAAGAAGCCCCGAGTCTGGTTGAGATACGTAGACGACATCTTCATAATATGGAACCATGGGAATGCAGAACTAGACACCTTCCTGAAGCACATCAACTACAAAAGTCCTTCCATCACATTCACAATGGAGAAGGAAGCCCACAACGCATTGCCATTCTCAGATGTATTGGTGAAGAGGACCGACACTGAATGAGAAACACTTGTGTATCGAAAACCCACTCACACAGGACAGTATCTGAACCAAGAATTCAAAAACCATCAATCGACTAAGAGAGGAATAATGAAGACTCTACTGTTCCGTGATTTGGGGCTCTGTAATTCGAAGGAAGGTCTCGAAAAGGACCTATGCATCATAAAAATTGACCTTCAACGAAATGGTTACTCCAAAGTGATGGTGAGACAGGCTTTAGCTAGAAGACAGCAAGAGCTCCATAAGGAAGAGTTCAATATGAAGCCCCCGATTGCAGAGTCGAATTATTTCCGATACAGACTTGGTTGCCTTTGAATTGAGAAAGACTGAACTCATATTCAAAAACCCTTTGTACGTCGGAATTGCAATATTAGATATTTTGAAAACATGCATGATTGATTTCAATAACGACTTTATGGTGCTCACTCTCGGCATAAAAAATTGCAAGTTGATGTATACGAATACAGATAACTTCATCTGCGAAATAACTTTCGCAGTACCATTTGTACTCATAAACAAACTCTAATATCTAATATTTACAATATTGGTTGTCTTATAACAATTCATGTACTCTATTTCACAAAATTAATTTTTTAAATTTGTATTTGGCAAAATTCATGAGCCCCTCTCCAATTCTCTCACCTAGTAGGCTAGACAATATTTTTGCTACATGGTTTTCTCATATACTGAGTGTTTTTCCTTTCACAACTTGAAACTACTTTCAAAATATTGATTTGGATAAAGAAGATATGGAAAAATTGAAAATAATGAGGGAAGAAGAAACAGAAAACAGAAAAAAAGATATGGAAAGACTGGATAGGGTACGACAAGAAGAAATTGAAATATTAGAAAGAAAAAGGAATGAAGATATGAAGAAGTTATTTGGAAAAATAGATGTGGAGACAAATAATGTTAAGAAGTTAGAAAAAGAAATTGTAATAAACCATAATAATTCGAAACAAGAGTTAGCAGAATATGAAAGGACTATTGAAGAAAAGGTAGAAAAAATTTTACAGGAAGTGGAAGATAATAGGAAAGAAATGAAGAACAGATTGACCAGGTACATGGAAGAATAACGACTGTAGAAGAAGGATTGGTGCAGGAAGTAAATACAATGAGAGAAGAGAATGAGAACTTCAATAAAAAAATAGATAGGGAAAATAAATTAACTAGAGAAAAGTTTAAAGAACATGAAAATAATATAAATGAAAAAGTAATTGATATTAACAATAAAATAAAACAAACGGAGAGGAACCTAAGTAATAGAGAAGAATCAATAAGACCAATTATAGCTATAGGTAATGAAAATAAATTAATATTTACTGGAAACATCAAAAGACAACATACAGTACCTTCCATAGAATTCATAAGAAGTAAATATGAAAATTTGTAATTTAAACAAATGAAAGAAGTTATTAGAAGTCAATTGCCGGAAGAAGCATTATTGTGGTTCACTAATAAAGAGAAAGAATTGCCCAATTTTGATAAATTTTCAAATAAATTTTTGAGCTATTTTTGGGGACCTTCCCAACAAATGTTAATAAATGATGAATTGTTAGAGGGAAAATTCAATTCCAATAGAGGAACGTCTTACCATAAATATGCCTTGAAAATATATAGTGCATCAAAGTATTTAAATTGCAATTTCACAGAATAATATACATATAGTCAACTTAATAATCCAACATTTTGATGATAATTTATAGGAGATTGTAATGCTGTACAATTTTAAAGATATGGATAGTCTATGTCAATTTTTGATGACACAGGAAAGAAGGAGAATCAATTGAAATAATTTTCTTTTAGTAACGGGGAGTTATTCAATTCCAATTGATCATTCAGTAAATTACCCGAATTCCTGATTCTATTGATTTCTGAATATTCTAGAAGATTGAGTTTCAAACTCTTCTCTTCTGAATGTAACACGTCGTATTCATGATTGAACTCATGTCCTTCTGCTAAAAGGTGGTTTGCAAATGTGGAATTGGTCTTTCTATTCTAAAGAGCATAGAAGTAGTTTTGTAAATATATTTCTATTCTAAAGAGCATAGAAGTAGTTTGGTAAATATAAAGACCAATTCCACATTTGCAAACCACCTTTTAGCAGAAGGACATGAGTTCAATCATGAAAGCGACGTGTTACAGTAAGAAGAGAAGAGTTTGAAACTCAATCTTCTAAAATGTTTAGAAATCAATAGAAGCAGGAATTCGTGCAATTTGCTGAATGAACAATTAGAATTGAATTACTCCCCTTCACTAAATATTTTTTCAAAAGTGGAAACTGGGACATAAGCTCAGAAATTTTAATTCATCACAAACTTAGGTAAAAATCAGGTACTAGAAATGTAGGTACGTGTATTTGTAAAACTAGATATATTAAGCATGGGATATGTAGAATATTGTTAGTAAAGATACGCCCGAAGAAGCCATTGTATGGCGAAACACGTGTTGCGTTTTCGTAAAATTTTTAAGTGAAAATCTCACAATGAAGTGTTATGGATTTTCATCAAATATCGGCCAATTCCATCATATACATCTATAGTCAATTTTATATCGATAGTGAACAAAATAAGCTCTACTAATACTTTTGATATTTCAGAGGAAACCGGTTAAATTTATAGAATGTCCTTCAAAAATTAAGAAAAGGTGGTTTTGTAGAAAACCCTTGGAAGAAGTAACGGTTGCTGATAAAAATGAGCATGCCGAAATGGAAATGTGCCGAGAAAATTGTTTTTCTAACGAAAATTTTAAACTGATGGAGATAAGGTACTAGTATCGACAAAAAAGAGAACTCATTGCCAAACGATCTAGAGAAGGCAAAGAGTCTTCCTTCAGATAAGAGAGAAAAATCATGTATTCTGAAATGTGATAGAACTTTTGGAAATAATCAAGAATGTTCGGGCTCATCCCACGATAGAGGGAGATAATTATATGATGTGGTAATTCTCTATGCCCAATCCATGAAAAAATTTCTCGTTTTTATCTGGATAACTTGCTTGTGAAGAGATGGGAAAGTTTTACCAAGAGCATTCCAGAACATACCGGTATATTCTGGAATGTTTGAGAATAGTGTGAAACGTCCGGAAATATTCTGAAACATACCAGATCATTGTGAAACATCTTAGAACAGTCTTTATTACTGTGGGATGTTTTGGAACATTGTGGACCATTCGAAGTCCTTTCAGTGTGGATGAGGCTACCAATTGATAAAGATATATAGATCAAGTTCCGTTGACCCCTTATGATTCAAAATAAATACTCTTATTTTAACTGTATTATCTCATTTGACGCTTTGAGCAAAGGCCTCGGCAACTACTAATCTGTCTTTTGATAAAATTCGCTTGACCAAAGTATGCTTGAAAAAGGTGAAAATATATCTACTTTTAGACAACAAAAAGTAAAGATACACCTCAACCTTCAAAATATGTCTGTCTGTTTAAAATCTGTTCACTACGGAAAACAAAACTATGCATTTGGAACCTTTCTTCATCAGATCTGTCGCAATGGTTTGTCAGGCCGCCTAAAATCATTTTCTTGTGTGAAAGTTTCAATTTTGTAACAACTTCTAAAAAATTCATTTGAGTTACATGGCAAAAGGTAACTAATATAATGTGTATAAAATGCTTGAGTTCTCCAATTACTTACCAATTTATATGTTACCATTATTTCAAACATTGAAATGGATCTCATAAGCATCCATTGAAAGATAGGCATATGCCATCACGAACTTTTTTTGTGAACTCATAAAATAACAATATCTAGTCAATTGTTTTGTTATATAATAAAGGGCAGCGTTTTCGATGCAAGCTCTCAGTTAGAAGTCATCACTCGAGGGTCACCCTGTACATAACAGAAAGTGATAATAAACAACAAGGTCGTATATGACATAATAAAATGAAAGAATATGCTGTCTGGTGTCAGTGACCAAAAACTCATTTACTAGAAACTGTCCACGTCGATATGGATTTTCTTCCCATATCAGTTGAATTTATTTATGCATTTATTAAATTTCACTGAAATTATACAAAATTTAATTCAAAAGTCAAACTCTAGAGGTTCAATTCATAGTAAAGACGAGCACATTTGCAAATCGTAAACGAATCTGAAAAACCAAGAAATATATAACTTTGAATGAAGTAAGAATCTCCACTTCTGCAATAATCTCAATAATCACACACTGGAGGCTTCTGGCAAAAAATATAAGTTATCTTTGATAATAAATATGGCAACAAGGCAGATGCAGGATTGTTGAATAACTGAAACTGAATATTCATGTAGGACGCATGAATAACTTCAATGTATACAATGGATTCAACAAACATAGACCAATGAAAGGTATCGCGAATGATAAAAAAATGAAAGAGAAATGAATATTTCAGATTCAGTGAAAAATACTTTTGTGATATCATGCCCCACCCAAAATAATGTGATTTTTAATATACTTCAATCAGATTTACTCCAGCTCTATCGGTTCTGGGGGACGCGGTATACCCGTAATTTGTAAAGATAGAGAGATTATCCCTCCTGTAAATCTGCGTCCATACATTTGGTTTTCCGCATGTAGTTCTGCGTCTCCCGTATTTCTGCGTCTGAATACGGACGCAAAAATACAATCTCTAATAAAAGGATAATTTGAATCTCTGCACAGTTCTTTCTCAATTCAAAAATCCCGCGTTTTACCGTTAATCTAAATGGCATGTGTCATATTTGAAATTTATAGAGGACTTTACTATAGAACAATAATTAGTGGGACGTCAAAATGATGGAATTAGACACCGTCATTGTATAATCTAGTTCAGTCACATTCTGGTAGGGGCGCCGCTACCGCTTAGTTAGTGTATATTGCAAACGAGTATTTTTCATACATCTTTCCTATTTTTTTGCGTCATATATAACCGGCAACCCTGAAAGGTATTCTGCTATAAATGGTTTAAATATTTTTGTGTCATAAAATTTCAGTTAGGTATATGTTGTCTTAATATGAACTTGTGGTGTTACTAGTGAAGCTATAAATATTTTCAAGGTAAGAGAAACTTTGTTCTTACAAATTAACTTATATATTTGAGACCAACTGAAGTAAACTGTTCGCCTGTTTGTCATTTCTTCAACCGTTGAATTTTGTGTGCTTCCAACTTTTTTTCATCTACATCCAAAATGTATGTTCAATATAATATGATATAATGAGAGAGTCCAAAATTCTATTGTCGCGTGCAAAGACCTCCTCAGATTTTAATGATATATTTTTCAGGATTTTAGAGTAACAAACATCCAAAATGTCAAGAGGCAAAAAAATATTAGAACAATTGAGGAAGCTAAGTGAGCCTTCTTGTATATTGGGTGAGTAGAAAATTTCAAATGTTAAGAGTTCAATGACTTTTTTTCTTGTTAGGTCAGTGCTAACTCAATTTGAGAGTGGAAATTCACAATTGTGTGTAGAATATTAAAAAAAAATTCTATTTNTTTTTTGTTAACACCGAAAATTACTCAAAATTATATAGTATTGTAACAAGAACTCAATATTCAATAATATCAAATTACAAAACATCAAAATAAAATAGGTATTTTAGAACAAACTCATTGATTTTCTGGAGATTATTTTGGAGAATTATTTTGATGTTTTGTGCTTTGATATTATTTAATATCAAGTTCTTGTTACAATACAGTATAATTTTAAGTTATTTTCGGTGTTAACAAAAAATAAAAAAAAATTTGCACCAAAAACTTAGAAAATTATTTTACTCTTCAAAAAAATTGACCGTGGTTAACATCATAGTTGTGTAATTCGTAATATTACAGGCTTTTAAAATAAACCGTCGTATACAGGATGCTGCCTATTTATCGTTTCAACAATTTTTTTTCGTAGACCCCATTAAAAAAAAATGGGTAAAAAAATAAAACTTCGCTCAGATGGACAATCAATTATTTGACGTCTCCTCGTATATTACGTGTGTTTTCCTGTATTTTGTTGGTGCATGTTTAGTTTTAGGGGATGCATAAACTTTCATCAAGAGTAACATTTCGTTGAAAAACCCTCAATAAATGAATTTTCCATAAGGTGCATACTTTGGGGATGACACTGTATATACTTGTCAATGGGAAAATTCCTTACATATTTCTATTTAATTTTCAGATGACCGAGAAAATCAACAAATATACGTCGATAATAATATGTTTCACCTGAGTCAAAATTGTCCCACTTCTGAAAATTTGTCAGTGCCACTTCCAAGTCGATTTATCAATAACCGGCTCGACTATAATAAGGTCCCACCAATGTGTGATAATTCTAACATTGTATTGGGAAATGAATATGAGAGTCAGGTGAAAACAGTAAATGATAGCCAAAATATAATAGTGTTGCAAAATGTGGTCTTAAATTCTACCAGCTTCGAAACATTACCTACCATGTCACATATTGCCAAGAAAACTCATGGAAAAAATGAAAATGCTGATATTCTCACTGATCTATACTCTGAACTTGAAGAACATTTTAATTCAGATCAATCGGAATATGTTCCAGATACCGATGAATTTTCTTCAGATTCTTACAGTAGTACTCAAAATATTAGGATTTCCAAGTTCAACAAGAATTCCGATAGTTCAGAAGCAACTGTAGGAAATTTGGACCAACATCAATTGAATGTTTCTATTACTTTCCCAGAAAAAGAACCTATAATAAGTGAAGGAAATGCTACAATATCAGCCACTTCAGAACGCATCTCTGCCTCGTCAGATAAAATAGTATCATTTATTAATGAATCAGAAAATAACGATCAGACCAAAAAGAAAAAATATTCTAAAATCAAACGGTTTCCGGATTTTTGCTATTTCTGTGAAACTTCCGTTTTAAATTTCGGACGACATCTTCTCAGAAACCATTCACAGGAAATGGATGTTCAAAAGATTGCAACTTTGAAGCCTAATGACATCACCCGTAAAAGACTAGAAGATTTATGAAATATTCCCAGTATATTTTGAAAACCTCAGAATATTCTGAGAAGACTCCTTAATTATAATCAAAATATTCTTTATATATACTGAGTGAAAAAGAAATACGGAATTTGAAATTCAGTTCATTTTATAAATTCGTAAGGTTCACTCAGAATCTATAAAGGATATTTTGATTATAATTGAGAATACATTACAACATTCTGAGATAATTCTCAGAATGTTCTGTAATCATTTTGAGAACGTTTTCAAAAGATGTTCACAAAAAATTTGAGAAGAGTCAGAGAATGTGAATTTCAAACATTATAATTATACAATATAGATTTCTAAAAAAAAATCCCCACGCTTAAAAATTTTACATGGATGATTTTAGTTAAATAACCATAGATTAAATTGAGTTTAAAATGATTTAATCATTACTGAAAAATAAAAATGACATCCTCTTTCATATAAAATACTCAGAACAATAAATATATATAAAGTATTTCTCATATAAAACAACAAATGCAAATAACACAAACAAAACATCTAAAAATCAATAACATTTAACTATTATCTTTGCATCTTTGTCGTCTTCTTGTTCTTTCTCTGTTTTGCTTTCACAGCCAAAGTTTGATGCTTGCTTCAACATCACTAGCAGCAGCTTTTTGATTACTGTACATTACAGCACCTTGAAAAAAAAAAGAATAACTAAGAGTATCAAGTAAGGTGTCATCCTAGGAATTTAGTCTCCTGCAATATATTTTAAAATTTATAATGAAAAATTTTTTCATAATTTTATTCTGAAGTTGAAATCTACTGAAATAGTTAATACTTTGAATTTTACAAAAGGGTGCAAGGGCTATCTATCCTGAAATGTTCGGTATAATTGGAAATATACTACACTAATATTACTGCATTTATGTATATATTTTATCTATTGCTCTTCAACTTTGTTCATTATTCTTTTGAGCATTAGTCGTGGATTGCTGCCTCCAATCCTAGATAATTCCACTTTCTGAAAATATAAGGTAAATTTTCAGATTACCTACTATTGTAATATTATAAATTAATTTAAAATACAATTTTAAATGTTTAATTAGATCATTAGAAAAGCGATGTGATAACTTAAATCGTAATACAAGAACAACTTGACTTGTTCTGTATAAACATTTAATCGATATTGATATAATGAACATTTACTGAAGTGTTCCAACAAAATTATTAATGTTAACTTACCACTTCCTTGTATCTTTCACTATCAGAAAGATATTCTTCGAAGGATTTTAGGTCATTTTTTGATTTAAGAGGTGAATCGAACCTGTTGAAAATGGATTCCCTAATATATCCTCTAATATTATGCTCTATATGAGAAATTTTCAATAATATCAATAAATAATTTCAATCAACTGACCATAATTTTACATTCAACTTGAGTCATACATTTTTTCATCATCCACTTCAGCTTTTTTTATTTCATCAAACTCTATACTTTCAATTGAAAAGTTTGAATGGTAACTTTCATGGGTATTGTCCAAAAGATTTTTCTTTACAGATTCTACTGCAGGTAAATAAGATTTTTCTTCAATATATTTCTTCATCGCTGCTATTATTTTCAATTCCCATCGAGCAAGATGCAATGTCTTGAGTTGGGAAAGTAAAGCTCATATCAGTTTGGGTTTTCTACTTTTTGTAAAAATTGAAAAAGCATTTCCTGGACATGATGATTGTTTATAAATAGTATGGCACTTCCCCAAACCAAAGAACCCATGCTATTCAAAAGAGAATTCGTTACTATTATAGCTGTAACAATAATAATAATAAAAATTTGGGGCCTAAACCCAATATAAAGCTCAAATAAAGAACATCTGAATAAACTAACCTATTTCAAAAATGTATGTATTTAAATGTACTAATTAAAACAACTCGCCAATAATAGTTATATTTTTTGTACACTAATTCACACAAAATAATTTAAATAGGTATCGAATTAGTCAGAAAATACGAGTTAAATAAAATCACAGAAAAACCGCGTTGACGAAGGTAACAAATGAACAAAAACAAAACAAATGTTTTAGGTTAAGGCCTACCTTCTTCTTCTTCAAATTTTTTTTATGGACGTTGCTTCCCATTCGGGCACATTTGTCCAGTCTCCTCCTGTCAAATTGACCTCAATTTGACAGAAGCTTCGTCGTGGGGGGGGCAGCGGTCTTGCTCGAAGCAATGCTGCCACCCCTTTTTTGTCTCACTTTTTATAATAAAAACAACACACTTTTTTTTTGTCGCCTCCTGCTCAGGAGACTTTTTGATTTTTTACAGGTACATATATATTAATTTGGTCGCATCCTCTCCGGGACACCTTCTGATTTATTATTCACATAAATGGCCCCTTTACGTGGTTATCCGAACCACCCCGGCCTGGATACCGGCGTGAATAAAGGGGCCCTTAAACTTCACTTTTATTTAAACACTCACACTTTATTATACGTTTCACAAAAATATTTAATACAAAACGAACACAAAAAACGGAGTCCCACGATAGCTTTTATTGAAATATGGACCTTAAAGTCGTTCAAGTCAAGAGTTGTTTAATGACATAGAATGTGAAAACGAGCTGGTTTAATTTTTATTTGAAATAACTACTTAGAACCGCTTATGCATATATTGCTTGGTAATATATTGAGAATGTTTTAATGAAAAAGTTCTCAGAAAATTACCTTGGTATGTTCTCAGAATGTAATATGATTATATTCTCAGAATGTTCACGAGGAACATTCTATAACCGTTCATAGTAGTTTTGAGAATGTTCTATGAATATTCCGAGGAATATTCTACAACGTGACAATTTAACAGTTTGTGAGAATATTCTGAGAATATTCGTGCTATCTGGGTTGTTTCGTGTGAAGCACAGCATCAAAAATAATTTGAAAGGCGAATCAAAAAATAAGATGTCAAAAATAATCATTAAGTTTTAAAAACTTAATTGACAATACATTCAAGAACAGTACCAAATCTGGAAATACAAAAAATGTCAATTTTTCTTTTTTCCAGACTAAGCTGCAGAGCCAAAAGCCTCTTTTTCAATGTGAAGTTTTCTGCTCAATATATGAGAATCTAGTATATTTAAGAATTACTTTATTATATCCTCTTGATTGAAATATTAAGACTTAAGGAAAAATTAAATTAATTAATTTTTCAATATATCCACTCAAAACTGGACAAAAAAAACGATTCAAAATAAAGTGCTTTCTTTATATCATATTTTTTGTCGAATCATAATGAGAAAATTATTTATAACTGGGAATTCAATAGCTTGATTCAAAATACTTATAGAATTAGTAGCGATATTGATACAAGTGTAGAGCTGGCAGAGCCGAATATTTGCATTGAAAAGGATTATGCTTAAACCTACAAAGAAAAGTCGAGTAAAAATTTTGTAAGGTTAAAAATTTTAAAAAGTTAAATATTTAGGTAGTACTTATCCATTCTGAATATATTACTCATAATGTTTAGAAAATAAACATCAGTTTCCAGAATGGAAATATCAATCTTCAAAAAATAATCTCTTCATCAATTGTAATAGCCATATCTGAGTAAGACTTCTGACAAAAATGTTTGACAGGAAACTACAATACATTTTCTGAATATATACTAAATGTTGATTACGTTATCATTTTATCTCTAGTCATATGATTAATGTCATAAGGGTAAGAAAATAACAAATGGGCAAGAGAAACAATTTTTTTATTAAGTATACAAGATGGTACTACTGGAGATAGATTTAATCTTCTAGTCCCAGAAAATTATTTAATCCTTTAGCGAGGTTTGTCTTGCAGTTCTTGGAATACCATTTGAATGGCTACTATCGTTGAAAGCTGTCAATAACTTAACTAAGGAAAAACAAAAATTTTAAATAAAAATATACCTATCCCCATATAAACCTCAACTATTGATTTTCCACCAGACAATGCATATCAGCAAGAAATAGTGAACCCATAATTTGTCATTATTATTAGGTATTCATTTTGTAGTGAATAAAACCTAAAATCATAAATTTTAATTCCTTACTTCATCAATGATTTTACGATGCCGACTCAGGAGTTTCAGGAAATGATTCTTTTCTTACACAATATTATAATTATTCAATACCTAGATGTGCAACTTTATTAACATTTTCAACTCCATCTCTTTCCGATTCTTCACCTAAAATTTTTGACATACACATCTCAGGAAACATATTTAAGAAAAATGTATTAAATTTGTTTATCTTTATGGTAATAATTTACCAATGTGATCTGTATAGATATATTCCAGATCTGCAGTTTTTCCAGCATTCCATGAATTTAAAATTAGATCACCTCCAAATTCTACAGCAATATCTCCTTCTAAAACGTGATTCACATTTTCAATTATAACGCTTGCAGAGTCTTCATCTAAAAATATTTGAAATTCTACATATCTTAGGAAAGATGTATTCAAGTAAAAGTATACTAAATAAAAATAATTTACCAATTTCTTCTGTAAACATATATTTCTGATCTGCTGTATTTTTTTCAAAATTCTGGGAATTGAAAACTAGACCATCTTCAAATTGAAGGACAATATTCCCTTCTAATAACTGCTCCAGATTTTCAGTTTCATCTTCTTCAGGAGCAATATCTACAAGACAACAGATCATATAGAAAACTGAATCTTTTTTTTGATGAAAGCATTTTTATCTATTTTGCTTACCAATACTTTGAGTCCCAAACCTATCTTGTTCTATGACAATAGGTTTGACAGTTTTTTTGGGTTCATGTTGCTTTTGTTCGATAGATTTGTCTATTGAAGTATTACATTTAGTTGAAATTTCATTTTGCCATATTTCATTGGGTGAATTTTTCAGATGAGTCTTGGCTAAATCACCTGTATTAAAATAGTGTCACAAAAATTGATTTCTCAGTAAAATTTAAATGTACTCTAGGTTACCATGCAACAGGTGATATTTTTTTAAAATTTTAAAAACCTTAAATTTAAAAATTCTTTTGGTGTCAATGTATGAAAATTTAAATATTCCAATAAACAAGCTGGATTTAAATATATTAGAGACTTGAAATTATACTTACCACTAATAAGAGTCTTTCTACATTTTTTAGACTTTCTTTTATTTTTGAATTCTAAATTTTTGATAAGAGTATGGTCAAGTATATTACTTCCAGGTTCCCAAGTATTGCTTTTGGAGCCATACCCTTTCCATTTGATGAAGTATTCTACAACACCCTATAATGAAAAATTGATTTTATTTCTTTAATGTCCACAGCAAAATGTTTGTAAGGCCTGAGCACTTTGATAGCATACATATATACTACTTTAAATATTTCTTACCTTTCTCACACGTTTTTTCAATATCTTTTCAACCTCATAGAAGCAATCCGTTTCCATCCTTTTCCTTATTGTATTTATTTTCATTCAATTGAAAGATTCTACAGCGATACACTAAAGTGAAATATTTTCGTCATATAGTTAGAAAACAATAAACCAGAAAAATAGAAATACAATAAAAAAGGTAAAAATCACGTTAGCTAAATCATCAATCACATATGATCATTTGAAGTCGGGGTTGCCAAGAGCTTTATTATTTTCTTACTGAAATTTGCATTCTGCGATTTCGCAACTTTTGCCTATGCTCCATTTATCAAGGTCAAATTTCCAGAAGTATAAAGTGTCGTTAGCGGGAGATAACTGTACACAAGTGTATAATCTATTCTTTGCACAAGATGAAGATAACTAAGTAAGGTCAGGGAAAAAAATATCTAAATGCACAGTTTATCCGGTTTCTAACAAAAAGCCAAAAAGAACACTAACATCCTCAATAAAATCAAACAAATCAATGAAAATGAAATGAACAATATTACCTTGGGTTTTTGCATAACGGGGACGGCGGTTTAGCTACGGCTTTGCAACGGTGGTGACTCAAAAGACTTGGCGGTTAGTCAACGGTGACTGTCAAACGGCAGTAATAATCAACTTTTCCAAAATCTAAGGAACTTTCTCAACTAAAGCACTTTTCTTCAACAAAATCAACTGAACGATAGAAAATAAATTTCTCAACGGTCTGAAACATTGAATCGCTGTCAACCTCGTTTCTTTCCAAGTTCCAATATTTATAGCCGTCGTGAAGGTAGGTAAAAATGTAGTCAAGAAACAAATGAAAAACGCTCGTTTTTCTGAATCTTAAAAATCAAAATCGTACAAGTAGTTGTTTGCTACATGGCCCATGTTTTTACCTTTCAGCAAATAGTCTGACAAAATTGTTACTTTTACTAAAATACGCTTTTTGATACTTAAATCGAAATGCTGAAATTTTTCAGAATCGTTTCCGATCAGGACTGCTCATCCAGACCTCAAAATAAGGATTTTTCTATCGCATAACGTCAGATTTTAAGATTGATCAAATCGGTACATATCCTGAATCCTGTAAACACGTTTGCTAAACGAGACTTCAAAAGGTATTCTATAATACCTCATAACTAAGCCGAGTATAATAACTTATTAGTTCTTTCCAACCTAGAATTGGAAATTATAACGAAACATCTACTTTACGTTGCGGTTTGAGGTTTTTGGCATTGCCAGGGACAATCAAAAGGTAAAATATTAGAAAAGGCTTCATGGGGTCTTGATAGATAACCAGAACAAGTACATTTTTATCAGTAAACTGTAAGAGTAATAATAATAGATTTCTAGCTCTTGTTTGATTTGGTATGAAATACTTAGGCCTAAAATAATGCTTCGTTACAGTTATATAAAAAAGAAGTTTGAAAAACGTATTTTAGCTGAAGCTACTCAACTTAAACTCGCCAAATAACATGAGTTCAGTTGCTGTGCAGATACTACAATCAAATTGTTGAATACAATATAATAACATTAATATAAATAACAATAATACGAAGCACTATTTCTGAACGTTGAGCAACAAATAACTAAAATCTGCTGCTTGATTGTTTGATTTGACAAAAATAATTTAAAGGTGTTTTGTTTATGGCACACAACTCATTTTAATCACAAAGATTATAATCGTGATTTCCCATGATGTGAAATTATGTTAATTCTATTCATAATGAAATTGTATATTTTCACAAAATATTTTGTGAAAATATACAATTTCATTAAGAATAGTATTATTAATTTTCACCAAGTAACGGATCAGAGTATTCAAAATATGTTAATTCTGTATAGTTTTTAGGTGTATAGGTTCTGTTAAACAAATTTATTTTTTTGCAGAAATGTCAATACTGACTACCATTTTGATAATTCTTTGTTTTCTTTGAAAAGTATGCACAATGTTCCATTATCATTAGNTGAACAGAATATCAACTAGTGGTGAGATATATCGAATAAAAAATAATCGAATATTCGATTATAACAATAATCGATTATACTCGATTATAACAATAATCGATTATACTCGATTATTGTCGACGAATCATTCGAATGAATTTTGGAATTTTCTACTTTCCTTTTAGGTTAGGTTTTGACAGTTCTGAATCCTAGTATGATACCAATAAAAATAACAAAATTATAAGGTTTCATGTTTCAAGGTGAAATTAAATAAAAAATTATGAATTTAAAAAATGGACAATCAAATAACTCTCTGCTACGAAGTATTTTGGCTTTAAAAGTGGTTTATTGGTATATTCTGTACTGAAGCTGCAAATTTTTCGTGAATTCAATAAAACCCTTATCTTCGACTATCGAAAAGGCTTGTAGTCTTTTACAATCATTTTTACAAGAGTTCAGTTCTTGATTTTGAACTCCAAATTGTATGATTTGTTTGATTTTCTTTTTCTTTGGTGACTGAATATCTTTACTTTGATTTGAATTATCTGCATTAACTACTACAGTACTATCTGCGTTAACTAAGCTACCTCCATTCCTACTAGCATTTTCAATATCCCCTTGTTGTTGAAGAGGGTGAAGCCTGGATATATGCTGTATGAAATTTGTGGCATTACCAAAAAAAATTTAATAATTTGTTACATCGCTTAAATTTTACATTTTTTCCGTCATTTACTTTGGTAAAATTTTGCCAAACAGCCGACTTCTTAGGCGGACTTATTTATAAGATCAATTAAATCAAATTTCAAAAACAGTGACTGGAAATGGAAGATATACAAAAAAATCAAAATACAATACATAATACGTTAGGAGGTTGAGGTTAGGTATTTTCGAAAATTAAAAATGTCAACTGTCACTTGTCTTGTCACTGACAATGGCGTATACGAGTGATTATACATTCGAATGTTCATTCGATTGCTGATAATTCGATTATTGAAATCATTCGATTATTCCCATCACTAATATCAACCATGCATTTTCGACATATAGAATTGGACTGCTAGAGAAAAAGTGTAGAAAGAGAAATCCATACAGAGAAATATTCTTCGTAATGCAATCAGTGTCAGAAGATTTCGGCCCACTTTTTGAATGTTACACGAACATTCGCCCTCTCTTTTCAATGAGTTTTGGATGACCGAAAATAATTTAGCGATTCAGGTTATATATCGATGTATTGGACTTTTTCACATTTAATAGTTGTAGGGTTGCAATAAATGAAACTGTTTTTCGTTATAAAAATAAGAAAGGAAATTTGAATTTCCAGAATTACATATAAATTGGTTGTTTAAAATTGAGGTAACCTCCCAGTTCAATATTATAAAATCCAATAATTTTTACAGAAAATTTTAAATCAACGGTAAATTGAATTGAATAATATTATACCCCAGATGTAAAATGAAGGTCAGGAAAAAATTACCGGTGAACATCGAAGTGACGCCTACAGAGTGAGTTTTCTCTGTAGATCAAGTATTCTGGGATACAGCTTAGGATATTGTAGCCCTGATATCACCCCGAGTATAGTTACCTGTTTTGTTTCCAAGGTGCATATCTGTTGTCTAAATACTGAATTATGCTCTAATATTATTTGATATTTCGTGACGTCATATTTAATGTAAAAATGCGTTGAGACCGATGTTCAGCGACTTTACATGCTTTCTTTTCAACAGTAGGTTACTTTGGGGCTAAACAGATCGAATGTGATCCGTGCTTTTTGAATAATGCTCAGAACCCCAATATATCCCTTCCCTGCTTTCTCAAGTACCCACATACTTTTTTAAGTTTTACAAATTACTTTAGAAATCATATTCTAGCCAAAAGAAGGTTCTCGCATGATATATTTACTTATTATTCAGTAATAATTCATTAGGCAATAGCCAAATTGAAGATATTATTATATCGTTTTCTAATTTCTAAAACAATAATTTCCTTCAAATATGGCGTCAATTTCGAATTGGACGTATCTAAAAAATCTAAAAATCTCAGATGCTTGGCTTAAAACCCGAAAAACGTTATGTAATTGTCATTGAATTCTGGTCTGACTTCGAGCATCAATATCGAACTCCCTCTCTCGAAAGTAAAAGGAAAGAGAGAGAAAACAGACTTTGCAATCAATCAGAGCAGAAATGGGAACGACCGACGAAAACTATAGCAAGGTTTAAAATTCAACAGATTTTTCATGGATTTGTTCAACCAATAAAATTGCGCTATGGTTTCAAATGGTCCAATAGATGAATCCATCAGAATCAGATCAGTGGAAGGACTGAATCGGGAAATTTAAGACAAAGAGTAAGTTACAAAGAGAGACCAGTAAAAGCGCGGGAAAAATAAACCCCATGACCTCGAAAATTTACAAAGAGTAAGTTACAAAGAGGGACCAGTAAAAGCGCTAGAAAAAACCCCATGACCTCCAAAGTTCACTACTAGCAGTCACAGGTCAACGAACTGAGCTGTTGTCTTTTTCCAAAGCGATATGTGACTTATACTCGACTAATTTGTTTTGTCATTTCAAAGGTAATATTTTGCAATGTTTTAAATATTTTATTGTCTGAGATTAAATTCAGGTGATACAGAAAAATGTGGAAAAAGAGATGGAAGTTTTGGGAGACTGTTGATGCCAAGTAATATGTTTGTTGACTATGTTTCAATTATGGAGAAGAATATTATTGGGAATATAAACGCAACAGCTGTTGGAAAACATGAAGAGTAAATATACAATATATTAAAAGGAATACCATACCCATGTCAACACTTCCCATAGGTTTATGTATTGAAATTATTCATAAGAATGATAATTTATTATATAGTGAAATATGCAAATAGAAACTTCAAAAGTAGGGAATTAAATAAAAAAAGGGTAAAGAGATCAAGAAAATTACAAATATTAAGACTTAAATGACAGAAATGTAAGTAAAAGAATACATATTAAAGATGAATTTTCACCATATCCAATCTTTTAAAGGTGTCCGAAGAACAATGGCAAATATTTGATGATCTTGGAATTGTTTTACGTATACCGGAGGTTCAGGAACATGAGTGTTTGACATATGGAAATTGGTATAATGGTGCAAAATGTTGGTAACTGATGGATTGTGAACTGCAAGCTTGGATTTGAAGTTGTGATTCTTCAGATACAGTCACGCTTTGCTTCTTCCAAGTAAAGTGGTGAGGCATGTTGGGATAGGTGAGGATATATTGTTTTGAATGGCTATCACTTTCAATTGTATGCAGTTTTTCATTCCAGGTCAAGAACTTTGGTTTCGGATGCTTCTATTCAATGATATGA